TGGGGGGTGATGCCTGTGGCTCAAAGGAGTAGGGCATTGGCCCCATGTATGAAGGTGGTAGGTTCAAACCTAGCCCTGGCCAAAACCTGGAAAAAAAAAAAAAAAAAAAAAAATCAAGTACCTCCTTTTGGGCAGCGCCTATGACCCAAAGGAGTAAGGCACCGGCCCCATATGCCGGAAGTGGTGGGTTCAAACCCAGCCCCGGCCAAAAACTGTAAAAAAAGAAAAAAAAAAAAGTTAAATGGGAAAGAGGCAAGAGACTATAGTCTGTATATAAAATAATTTGGTGTGAACCTACCATTCAACCTCCCTCAATCTGACCTCCTCCCCCAATTCTATGAAATCAGCAGGGTACAATGAAATTACCACATTGTACCCCATAAATGCATTAGTGTATTAAAAAAAAGTCATTTTCTTTTTCAAAAAAATAAATAAAATAGTTTACTTATAGTTTTGTATAAGGAACATGGTGCTTTTGTTATTGAAAAATAAATTTTATTTGCTATAAAAATAATTTAAATAAGGTATATTTAAGGACATGCTCTATAACCCTATGTGGAGAAGTTTTATACAATCCACTGCTTTTTCCCTCTTTGTGGGAGATAGATATTTCTTGCCAATCACAAATTTTATAGTTTTGTTGAGTATTATAAAGTCAAGCATATAGCCTAATTTAGATTTCTGTTTCTATAATAGTGATTGCATTTTTATATATATAAAATAAAATAGATATTTCTTGCCAATCACAAATTTTGTAGTTTTTGTTGAATGTTATAAAGTCAAGCAAATAGACTAATTTAGATTTCTGTTTATATAATAGTGATTGCTTCAATTAAAAAAAACAACCATTTAACAGCATCTTTTCAATGATCCACTTGCTGGCAACTCTCAATAGAGTGTGTGGATTGCACTGTCACTGGTCCTTCAAGTAGAGTGTGTGCATGTACTTTTGCTGCAGGGAAAGGATGGAATGAGTATCCTGTTTGTGTTGTACTAACAGGTGGACCCAGGTAAACCAAGACATTGCAGACCGGTTGCAGAAGGCCCAGAGCCTGCTTCAGCTCTGGGAAGCGTATAACACTGCTCACTCGGAAGCCAGAGCACGGCTGGAGCAGCAGGAGGCAAAGTCTCAACAGCTTGCAAACATCAACATGTCTGGAAACAACCTGGCAGAGATCCTTCCCCCAGCCCTGCAGGACACAAAGGTGAATACAAAGCCCATTTGGAAGACTAAGGTCAAAAAAGCCCAATAGACAGGGATGAGCAGACCACAGGACAGAGAGGTCCGTCAGGACAGGTGCCACGACTGAGCTGTGTGGGTTTGAGAGGACCAGGTAGCTGCTCAGCGGCTGGGTCAGCAGGACCTGACACTGTCTCCTTCCAGGTCTACCCTTTCATTGGAGCAGCTAAATCTCTAAATTAAAAGTCTTCTATGAAGTCTGAAGTAAACAAGCCAAAATGTCTTAACTGATTGTGATCATCTAAGGATGATACATGCTGAATCTCCATTTTGACAGTGATAATGGACTTGGCACCTTTTCTGTGGGGATAGTGATTTTTAGAATATGTTTTAAAATGCCCAGAAAGTGAATACTGTTTAGTTTTCAACTGGATGAATAGATGCATTTTGTATCTTCTAGTACTATAGGTTAAATCAAAAAGTAGTAACCAATTTGATTAGGGAGACAAGAATCCAACAGATTGGCTCAGTGCCTATAGCTCAGTGGCTAGGGCGCCAGCCACGTACACTGGAGCTGGCAGGTTCGAACCCAGCCCAGGCCTGCCAAACAACGACAATTACAACCAAAAAATAGCCCAGCATCGTGCTGGGGGCCTGTGGTCCCAGCTACTTGGGAGGCTGAGGTAAGAGAATCGCTCAAGCCCAAGAGTTTGAGGTTGCCGTGAGCTGTGACACCACGGTACGCTACCAAGGGTGACATAGTAAGACTCTGTCTCAAAAAAAAAAAAAAAAAGAAAAGAAGCCAACAGATTTGATCGCATCTCTGATTTACATTTACCTGAGCTGTTGTTTAAAAACAAAATAACCCAGAAATTTCACTCATGCAGTAATTCCCAAGTAGCCCCACAATCAGCTTGATTAATAAGATTCTATAGTTTCTGCAAGTGAATCCATTTGTATCAGAAATTCTATGGCAGGAGGGTTGCATTGATTCTCGAAGTGGTATGAAAACAGATCCTTAAAGTGTTAGATAATTAGAAATATAAGCACGTGAATCTACCCAGGGTACCTCCGGTTTCTGTAGACCAGAAGCCTCGACTGTATTGGACATTGGTGAGTTTTAGCTCTAAACTGACAGATTGCCAAACAGCACCAGGCATGTCCATCATTTTAAGAAAGCTCAGCCACTCTGGAGGCTGGAATGGGAGGATCACTTGATTTCAGGAGTTTGAGACCAGCCTAAGCAAAAGTGAGACCCAACCTCCACTAAAAATGGAAAAATTAGTGGAATGTGGTGGCCAGTGCCTGTAGTCCCAGCTACTCAGTAGGCTGAGGCAGGAGGATCACTTGAGCCCAGGGTTTTGAGGTTGCTTTGAGCTGGGCTGACACCATGAAACTTTAGTCTGAACAATAGAGTGAAGCTCTGTCTCAAAAAAAAAAAAAAAAGAAAGAAAGAAAGAAAAGAAAGAAAGAAAGCTTAACCTTTTCAGCTATTTAAAATAAACTGTAGCAAAAAGCCACGCCCACAATTTCAGGAAACAAATTCTCCTAGGTGTTGCTGAAGCAGGCAGGGATGGGGGATGGTGGTGAGGAAGGAGGAAGGCATGTTTTGTGATCCCTTTTTCTTCTCCAGGAGCTGCAGCATGATGTGCAGAAGACAAAAGAATCCTTTCTCCAAAATTCCCCTCTTCTGGAACAGCTCCCACAACCCACAGAGTCTGGCACACACATGTTCCTCCCTGGTCACCTGCACTTCCTCCAGAGGGCTACTCATTTGGAAAAGATGCTGCTTATGAAAGCAAATGAGTTTGAGGTTCATCTTATTTTTCCATTCAAATAGTCTCAGACACTCGTGTACCACCCTATGAAGTAGGGTGTAAGTGCTCTGGGGACTGCTCTTTGAGGAAAGCACAGGCTGGGTCTCCCCAGACATATATGATCTGAGTTTCAATCACATGGGTAGGCTTTTAGGAACCATTTCTTTTTTATTGAACGTATCAGTTTAAGAAGTGATATATGAGGTCAGACAATTAATGAACTCATCCTAGAAAAAGTGCAAATGCCTCATTGCTAAATATCACTTTGGTCACCTTCAAAGTACTCCCTTTGCTCATCTAGTGACTATAGTGATATTCAGCAATGAGATATTTAGCACTTTTCCTGGGATGAGTTGTCTGACCTTGTATGTATTACATTTCATACATCGTTCAGATCTCACAGTCATTTGGATTTCCAAGTGGGGTAATTGAGTCGTAGAATTAGTTGCTGAGAGCATGTCTGTTTGTTGTATTCTTTATTCCCTTTGTAAAAAGCCGTTAGTGACTAGGCACAGTGACTCATGCCTGTAATCCCTGTACCCTGGGAGGCCAAGGTGGTTGGATCCCTTGAGCAAGGAGTTCAAGACAAGCCTGAGCAAAAGTGAGACTTGTCTACTAAAAATAGAAAAATTAGCCAGATATTGTGGCAAGTGCCTACAGTCTCAGCTACTGGGAAGGCCGAGGCAGGAGGATCACTTGAACTCGGGAGTCTGGGGGTGCAATGAGCTAGGCTGACACCATGGTACTGTTTCCTGGACAGCAGAGTGAGACTCTGTCTCAAAAAAAAAAAAAAAAGCTGTTAATGCATAAGCTGTCACTACATATAAGGCCACAGGGCTGTAATATCCCATCTCAGCAGGAAAAAGAGTGTTTAACCAGTGGGGCTGAGAAAGCCAAGTACTCTCTAACCTTCCTCTGTGTGGTCCTCTCCAGCAGGTCACCTGTGTATCTGGGAAGGCTCAAAGGCACAGAGAGAAACCCAAGGGGTTTCTGAATATTTATCTGTGAATATTTGAGATAATAATGAGCTGCTGGGGACTGAAAACAACTTGAACTTTTACCAGCTCCCAAGATTGTGCTTCATTCTGTTTTATATGCACTTAAAAATAGTTTCCAACAAAAATTTCTCTTGTTCTAGTTTGTTCTCTCACAGTTTAAGGATTTTGGGGACCAGCTGGAGTCTTTAAAAGATCTTATCAGGCATGAAGAAGAGAATTTGGATAGACTCTACCAGCAAGAAAAAGAAGAAAATCCTGACTCATTCCTGGTATTGCCATCTTTCCTAAGGGCTTAGACTCACCATAAGCTAAGAATAATCTAATTACTGTTAGGTTATAGAATCTGTTTGCATCACGTAACTCTTAAGCACAGTCATTTATATGCTATTTTCCCTAAGGTCTGGAAAAAGTAGGACAATGTAGGGATCTGTTTTAGTAATATGCCAGAGTAATTTTTTAGTAGAATTTTTTTATCTTGATATCTTTACTAATTAGCATCAGTGAACCAGAATAACCTAGGGAATTGACTATTGTGATTAATTGAATTTTTCTGACTCTTTTAATATCAAAAGTAAAGCACCCTATTTTTTGCATTTTTCCTTCATTACCTTAGTGAATGTAGTTTAGTAAATAGAGACAAATGAAAGAAATAATTCTAGATCTTACAACTCCTAAGAATCAATATCCTTAACCTAGATCAGCAGACAGCAAACTGTAGCACTCTGCCCAAATCCAAGTCCACCACCAATTCTGTCAATAAAATTTTGTCATAACACAGCCGTGCCATGCCCTTTTATCTGTGAGCATTTTCACGCTTCAAGAGCAGCATTGAATAGTTGTTACAGAGACTGTATGGCCCACAACAGCCTAGAATAGTTATGATCTCGCCCTTTATAGAAAAAGTGTGCTGACCCTGACCTAGAATATTACTGCAGAGTTCTATAGTGATAAGTTGGATGTTGTTAAGGATGTTTGCTCGAGATATTGTTAAGCTAGAGGCTATGACTGAAATATCTTTTGGAAAAATTTTTTTGATGACTTTGCTCTCTTTTGGTTTCACATTCTTTGAAAATATGGGTGTTCAAATACCATGCTTTGCTAGTGTTATTTTAAAGATCACGTTTTCATTGTTCTTTGTTTGACCTGTTGAAGATCAAGTTGTTGGCATAGCAAATGGTCCAGAAGTTGTCCTTTTTCTTTAAAAGCCCATTTTCTATGTTCTTCAAAGACAAAATCTGAGATCACTTTCTGTTTCCTGGGTTGTTTAGGGTTAGTCATGTGTACAGGTTGGTGTTCTAGAAAATGTATAGCATCAAGAGAGCTGAGTGCAGGCCCAGCTCTGGCACCGTCTGTCTGTCATTTACCTGTCGAGGCCCAGTTTTCTTCATCTTTGGGATAAAGAGGGCTTTTTATCATCTAGACGTCTTATGGGCACTAAAAATCTGTACTCTAATTTTTATTTTTTAAATAGAATCATGTGCTGGCACTGTCAGCCCAATCACCTGCTATTGAACATTTGAATGAAGTGAGCCTCAAGCTCCCACTTAGTGACGTAGCTGTGAAGACATTGCAGAATATGAACCGGCAGTGGATCCGGGCCACGGCCACAGCACTGGAGCGGTGCAGGTCAGAACATCCCATCTCTCCTAGTAAAATTACTAGCTTTAGCTCAGGAATGTCATGGTCATATGGATGTGTTTTGTTTGTTTTAAACTTCTGTGTAGTGAGCTTCAGGGAATTGGATTGAATGAAAAGTTTCTGTATTGCTGTGAAAAGTGGGTCCAACTTCTGGAGAAGACAGAAGAGACACTCAAAGTGAATATTGCCGGCAGCCTTCCTGCTCTGTTGGAGCAGCAGAAAACCTATGAGGTAAACTTGTGTTCTCCGCCACCCTTGCTTCACTCACCTTGGGGCAGGAGTCAGGGGAAGGTAGATTTAAATAAATAGAGAGAGTACCTACTGATTTCTAAATACAGAATGGACATCTTTAAGCAGATTCAGTTGTCAGTTGATTATAAATTCTCACATTTTACAAATTTCATTGTTTTGTTGCACTGCTCTATTTTGTTGATGACAGCATCTAGATTTTCTGCAGTTCACGGAAGCTTCTTGTGCAGCTTTGCTACCAAAAGCGCATTAAAGTCCTCTCACTCATCCTTGCATTTTCACTGAATAATTCTCTACAGTGTTGAAATACCTGGTGTCGTTATAATTTCAGCACTAATCATTTCACAGAGGAGTTTCTCCCATTCTTATGCTGATAAATATTTGAAAATATTCCTGGTGATTATAGATGGACCCCACAGTTAAAATGTGTCCATGAGGCCGGGTACAGTGGCTCATTCCTATAATCCCAGCACTCTGGAAGGCCGAGATAGGTGGATTGCTTGAGTTCAGGAGTTTGAGACCAGCCTGAGTGAGAGTGAGACCCCATCTCTACTAAAACTAGAAAAACTAGCCAAGCATTGTGGTAGGTGCCTGTAGTCCCAGCTACTCAGGAGGCTGAGGCAGGAGGATCACTTGAGCCCAGGAATTTGAGGTGCTGTGGGCTATGGTGCCACAGCACTCTACCTCAGGTGACAGAAGGAGACTCTGTCTCAAAAAAATAATAATAAAATTAAGGCTCGGCACCTGTGGCTCAAGCGGCTAAGGCACCAGCCACATACATCTGAGCTGGTGGGTTCAATCCAGCCTGGGCCCACCAAACAACAATGATGGCTGCAACAAAAAATAGCTAGATGTTGTGGCGGGCACCTATAGTCCCAGCCACCCACTTGGGAGGTGGAGACAGGAGAATCGCTTGAGCCCAGGAGTTGAAGGTTGCTGTGAGCTGTGATACCATGGCACTCTACCCAGGGCAACAGCTTGAGGCTCTGTCTTAAAAAATTAAATTAAATTAAATTAAAACAAAGTGTCTGTGATTCGTTTACCAAATTTTTTTAATATAAACTGATTTAAGTCTATATTATTCCATTAACATCATACAAAGAAATTGGTTCTGCCAAAAAGCAGAGTGACCTCATTAGTGAACCTCTTTGTACCTTAGTTTCCTCTCCTCAAGTGGATACATAATGGTAATGAACTCAAGTCCTGAGATTGAGAAATAACAAGATGATATGCGTTGTTCACAGTGTCTAGCAAATAATGCCCAATAAATGGGAGTTAGATGTAGTTATTATTAGACCTGTCTGCTTCTAAGATTATATTCACAGGTGAGATTGATGTGATAGTTGAACATTTTTTTGCATTTTGGCTCAAATAATTTAAAAAGTAATCATTCCTTCTCCTCTGTGAGCTTAGATTTTAATAGGAAATCTAAGTTCCAGATTCATAAAATGATGTTTTATATTTGAACTCATATACAGATGTTAGAAGCAGAACTTTCTATAAACCAAACAATTGCTGATTCTTACATCACCCAGTCCTTACAACTCCTGGACACAACAGAAATAGAGAAGAGGTAAGCTGCCTGGGGCTCCTGAAGGTTCTGGGTACTGGAGGGCAGTGCAGGTGGGCGGGGCAGGCCTTCCTCCATGGCGCCGCACACTTTGCAGCCACACTGGGTGATAGACCGCCAGGGGGCCACCTCCTGCCTGTGTATTAGGAGCAGGTCTTGCCATGTAGCCATTCACGGGTAGCTCTCTTCTCTGTGGCAGCGTATGGGTTAGCAGTCCGTAAGCTTTTGAAACTGCCCACATAAGTGTAGTAAACTAAGTTTTTAACCCCACATGATTCTTCTGTAGTATGTTTCTCTCTCTGTCCTCATCCTTACGACATTTTGCTATTTAAAAAATAATTTTTAAAGTACGTCTATTCCCAGCAGGTCGTTGTGTCCTTGTAGTAAAAGAAGGAACTTGTCCCCATGCTGTGTGCCTGGGGTTAGGACCACTAGGTGGTGACATTCAGCTGAGCAGAGCTCCTGCTGCCAGCCTGCCAGTGACAAGGGAGCTGCTCATGCAGCTAGAACACGTGGCAGGTAGCCTGGAGGTGCCCCGTCCACTTAAATACTTTTTAAATGTCCTGATAAGGTACTGGGTTTCTTCCACATCACCACCCATAAACCTCTGAATCTTCTTTCAGCATAATTTCCTAGCTCTGAAGTAACAAATCCAAGCTGATCCCAGAAGGATAAGCGCATTTCAGTGTGACCAGTATGGCAAAAAAGCATGACTTACCCATAATAAAGACCTTATTCCTCACATGAGGGGTATTAGTTATCTGGAAGAGAACTAGCTGAGTAGTTGCAATAAACATGCTCTTCATTACTAAAGTTATGTCAAGTCCATGCTCAAGTAATCAATAGCATTACAAGGCACCTACCTGTCCATATGTCTCCCGCTGATCCAATTTCTAGTTTTACATGCAGCATTTGGCATAATGGAACAGCTTCCGTTTGTTTAAGGGAATGGCTGTCATGTGTGCTGGCAAAATACCAGGTTACATGCAAATAGTGTCTGCCAAGCCCCTTTTACCAACCTGCATGTTTGTAGGCTCTCCCCCCCGCCCACAGCTTCCATCATAGTTAAGTTGAAAAGTGCTCAGGTTTTCAGAAGTAAGGGGGGGTTCCATGTAAACTGTACATATAAATGGTGAGTCTGAGTTTCTATGCCCTATTGATAGTTATTTTTTCTATATGTTTATGTCAAGATTCTCTAACCATCTGGTTTTCCCCAGACCAGAATTTGTTTCAGAATTCTCAAAGCTGGCAGACCGGTGGCAGAGCGCTGCCCAGGGGGTTCGGCAGAGGAAGGGAGACATTGCCGGACTGGTGAGGCAGTGGCGATACTTCACCACATCTGTGGAGGACTTGTTACGCTTCCTCACTGATGCCAGCCACCTGCTGTGCGCAGTGGAGGGCCAGGATCGCCACAGCCTCTACCAAATCAGAAGTCTGATCCATGAACTAAAGGTAGGATGGGCATTGGAGCAGTCTGAGAGCCACAGGGCGGTTGTTACTGACAAGACGTTTGGTCTCCTCTGGTGTTATGTTTTTTATGATGTTGTGATCCAAGCACAGCCTGTTCCCTAGCTTATTGAGTCAGAGACCCATCTTATGCTTCATGCAGGAACAGTGAGGCTCGACATGGAGTCGAGAGAAACGACTGGATTAGAAGAAGTCTGGGGTGACAGACTCACACCACCACCAAGCACTGATTAATGTATAAAATTGACCACCCCCATAGTAATTTACAGCAGCAGTCCTGCTCACTCTTGAAGGGCAAATTCATCCAGGCAACAAAGATTTCCATCAGGAAATTGCTTGATGAGCACAGGATTAGAGGAAGTAGTTGGACATGTTCCATGTAGCTCTAGAGGCACTCTTCACCAAAAGTGAACAGCTGAACAAAACACCACCCTCTGAAGTCCTGGGCTCTCCTCACTCATTTATCCGGTCATCAAATATTAACTGAGTGCCCTCTCTGTGTCAGTCTCTATCCTAAGTGCATATTCTGTGGAGTAAGGAGAAGATCTCCACTCTCATAGGGCAATCAGACAACTTAGTAAATAAATAGGAAAATGTACTCAAACAAATGTAGGAATCCCTGCATCTCACCACGTACCAGCAGTCAGATTCTCTCTCAGTTCTAGGTGTGACAGGGCACCGTTAGGTGGTTCTGCTTAGGTTGGGCACCTCAGACAGTTCAGGGAGGTGGTGGCTAGGGCACATGTCATCTGCAGAATCACTCACTCTTCGTGGCTTGCCCTTTAGGCTGGAAAGATTCAGACAGCCAGGAGCTGGGATAACTCGGGCTCCTTGGGTGTCTTTCACTATGTCTTGCCACTTAGGGGCTTCCATGGCCAGACTTCTTAAGTGACTCATAGCTTCCAACCCTCATGTCCCAAGAACAAGTCATATGGCCATTTAGATCCAGCCTCAGGATTCACATACCTCACTTCCGGCCATGCTTTAATAATCAAGGCCAACAAATTCAAGAGGAAGGGACAGAGACCTCACTGATAAAGAGTGCCATGGTTCTGGAAGAACATGTGAGCCTGAGAATATTGTTATGGCCATTTTATGAGAAGAGCAGTTTGCCATACTTAGGAAGCTTTTTCAGTGTTCTGGAGAGTTGTTATGATGGCTAAGGTAAGGGTGATCTCAGTGGAGGTTAAAAAGGATATTTTTGCAGGTAGAGTTTATAAGACTCACTAACAGTTTGAATGTGGCTAGTGAAGAAGAAGCCAAACCAAGGGGGAGTCCAGGTTTTGGCTGGAGCATTTGGTGTGTAGTTTAAGGCTGCCATATGAGGGAAGACTCAGAGAACACCAGGTCTTCTATCCAGGTGTCCAAGACCAGCAACTCATACGCTGGAAAGATGGCGTGTGGAGTGAGCATGGTCGCTGAGTTGCTGTCTCTTACTGGAGTGTGTCTCCTGACGGCAAATCCCGCTGTCCCCTTTGTATCTGTACAATCTCAAGTCTTCTCCGAAATACCTTTGTAAATTAGTGCTCTGTTGTTGTCAGCTTCCATTTTGGGAAATGCCTACGTTATGTTTTCCTTGAGAAATTTGAAGATGAAGGAACTCACAGTTAGAACAGTTTTCTGTTTAATTTTTTTCCCCAGAAACCAAATGCTTTTGGAACTATGAATCAACTAAAAAGTTCTTACTTCATTTTCGTATTATAAATAGCTAGTTTAAATCTCTTTTAAGCATGCCTATGGGACATTTAAATAGAATTGTTTAAAGTGTGTGTGCCTTTAGTGCATACATTGGTGGATATGTTTATGTGCCCATAATAACCTTAAATATTTCTCTGTGTATCTAATCATTACACTAAGGATCTCATCTTGCCAACCTTTGGCAATTATTTTAAGAACACCTCATTTGGTAGTATGCTTGTCTGCTTGATGTAAAACATGACCTTGTGATGTGAATGAGTGTGTGTGTCTGCATTCTGGCCGTATTTGTCCAATGTGTATCTATTTTAACACTTAAGAAAAGCTCTGATGGAAACATAAATAAACATACACAATCATATTTTAATCACAGTAGAAACTCAAGCAGATCACCTGGGGTTTTTTTGTTTGTTTGTTTAGAATAAAGAAATCCACTTTCAGAGATGGCAGACTACCTATTCACTGACCTTGGAAACTGGGGAAAAGTTACTGCACACAACTAACCTGGAATGTAAAGAGTCAGTTGACAAGAGCATCCGTCAACTTCGAGACCAGTGGAACAACACAGAGCTCCAGCTAGCAGAGATGATCAAGCAGTTCCAGAGCATTGCAGAGGTAAGCTCACCACTGACTGCTCCACTTGTTACGTTCAAATTCCGTACATGAGATTTTTGTTTGCTGTGTGGAAGTGGCTATAATTTTAGGAAATCACAATATCATAAGTTTGCCAACTCAGGTTCTACTAATCCATGAGTTGTGCCAGTTAATGTGGTAAAATAATAATTCAGCAGAACAAAAAGCTCAATGTTAAGTACAAAAACATATGAGAGTCTACTTAGATATTTAATTTTGTGTGTGTGTGTGTGAGAACCATGGACTTGGGATAAGGTGTTTATTTTTCCGTGATCAGTGGAAGTTTGATACACAAAGCTAATGTTCTCCATGTAACTAAGGTTATAATATATGAAAACAAACACAGGGATACTGTATTTTCTGCTAACATCAGAGATTGCATCTTTCCACATAAATGAATTTCCCAGATACTTTATACCTTTCACAACCAAAATGTTTGATTTTTGAGTCATTACTGGGAAAAATCATTATTGCTTTGTTATGCAAGTTTTTCTCAAGGATTGTGGGCTGCACTAAACTTGTAGGCCACCTTGCCCTGCTGTGCTCTTTGAGTTCTGAAGTGGCTTTTGTGGTCTTCCTTTCTTTCTTCTTAGTGTTAAGCTGTCTATTTTTAGTTTCTCTGAGCTCATTTGCTCCTTATAACCCACTCTCCTCTGTAATCTGTTTTGATGTAACTGAGACTGCCAGAGATATTTTTCTGAATTAAGAGTAAATACCTGCTGAGTTAGGGCCTGAGCTTCTCTCCTGTGAATAAATATCTAAATTTGATATAAGGACTGTTAGAAATTCATTAACCAGAAAACATTTGTTGGGCATCTGCCCTGTTTGTAAAGCATAAAGTAAATGCATGTAACAGTTTAGTGAGAGAGATAAGGACTCAAAGTTATGCTTCTCTCTTTGCTTTCTTTCTTTCTTTCTTTCTTTCTTTTTTTTTTTTTTGAGACAGTCTGACTCTGTCACATTGGGTAGAGTATGGTGGCATCATAGCTCACAGCAACCTCAAACTCTTGAGCTCCAGCAATCCTTTTGCCTTAGCCTCCCAAGTAGCTAGGACTATAGGTATCCACCACAATGCCCCACTAGTTTTTCTACTTTCTTTTTTTTTTTCAGTTTTTGGCCGGGTCTGGGTTTGAACCTGTCACCTCCGGTATATGGGACTGGCGCCCTACCCTTTTGAGCCACAGGCACTGCCCTAGTTTTTCTACTTTTATATATTTTTTGAATGTTGATAGAAGCTTTATTCATAATCATCCCAAACTAGAAATGACCAAATATCCCTCAGCTAGGAATGGGCACACAAACTGTCATACGTCCATTTAAAAGGAGTAGATTACTGACATATGCAAAATAGTTGAGTCTCAAAAGCATCATGCCAGCTCAGAGGCCAGACTCAAAAGATTATACACTATATGAGTCCAGGTTACTGCAAAAACAAAATTTAAGGATAACAAACAGCCTAGTGATTACCAAGGGCTAGGGGTGAAGATAGGGGTTTAACTACAAAAGAGCACAGTGTAACTTTGGTGGATAATGGAACTGTTCTGTATTTTAGTGTGGTTAACTGTATACATTTGTCAAAACTTGCAGACCTAACTGGGTCTTGCTCTTGCTCAGGGTGGTCTCAAATTCCTGAGTTCAGGCAATCTTCCTGCCTCGGCCTCCCAGAGAAGTAGTATTACAGATATGAGCCACTGCACTCTGCCTCTTTGCTTTCTTCTTAGTTGAGTTCCAGATAGACATGTGAGGTGTTAACAGAGAATTAGGCCAACCCAAGCATGTTTAGATGTAGCTGTACTGAGAAACAGAATAGTGCTTCATTGTGTGTGTGTCTACTTTAATAACCTTAGCAGTAGAAACTTATCCTAACAAATCAAATACAAGTACCCTAAACTTGAAAATACAGGCAGCTATTGCTCAGTAGTGCAAAGGTTTGAGGAAGAAAGATGGTCATCACTCCGCTGGGCTTTTCACTTCATGTCCTTGGGTCAGTCATTTTTCTCTGAAACTTAGTTTTCCTATTTTAAATGTGATAATACTTGCCCAGGCCATCTCCTAAGGTTATTATAATGAGTTAATAAAGCTGAAAATACTTAGTAGCCAAGGTGTAGAAAGGGGCAGAGAATCAGCAGTGGGGTGACATTGGAAAAGAAGGCAAAGAGGGTCGTTGAATGCTTTTGCTTTATGCACAGCATACTCCCCAAGACTGACAGTGTTAGCAGTCAGTCCTTACAGTAGTTTTTCAGGGGTGAACTCTTCAGAAATTTAAAGTAGAAATATGACTGGTTATGGCCAGGTACAGTGGCTCACCACTGTAATCCTAGTACTCTGGGAGACTGAGGCTGGTGGATCACCTGAGCTTAGGAGTTCAAGACCAGCTTGAGCAAGAGCCAGACCCTGTCTCTAATAAAAATAGAACAACTAGCTGGCATTGTGGTGGGTACCTATTGTCCCAGCGACTTGGGAGGCTGAGACAAGAGGATCTCTTGAGGTTGCTGTGAGTGAGGCTAAATCTACGGCACTCTATCCAGGGCAAGAGAGTTAAGACTCTGTCTCAAAAAAAAAAAAAAAAAAAAAGAAAGAAAGAAAGGTTGGTTAGATGAGAGACATGAGCAGAAAGGAAAAAATAGTTCCCAGCAGAAGCCAACTCAGTGGTTGAAGCGAGCCGTGAGTCCAGCTTCACAGCAGCACCGCAGCACCAGTCATGTTGTGTCCTTGCTCTCTTCCGGACTATGGTTTACTCAAGACAAGAAACTGGGTTTCTGATTTGTAAAAACGTGTTTCCAGAAAAGATCACGTGGATTAAACGAGGTGTTCTATGTCTACGATCCATTCTGATGAGAAAAGTACTTACCCATTCTAATACTGTTTTCAAATAGACCTGGGACCAGTGTGAAAAAAAAATCAAGGTGTTGAAAAGCAGGCTGCAAGTTTTAAAGGCACAAAGTAAAGATCCTCTTCCAGAACTTCATGAGGACCTCCATAATGAAAAAGACCTGATTAAGGTATTGAAAGCTGAACTTGTGGTCAAGATAATCACGTAACTGCTTTCTGTATACTTGAAGTACTTAATTTGCTCGTTTCCGTATTGAGACTGAATTTTCATGTTGGGTTTTTCCAACCTAGCATAACATCCTGATCTCTTAAGGAATTAGAATTGATCCCTTTTCTGACCCTTGTTGGAAAATGAGAAAGACTTCTACAAAAGTTCACTCGTTAGCCTCCTGGGGATTTTCTTCAGATCATTTCTCTGTCTGTTCCTCTTTTGTCATATAGGATGTGGCCTCTAAGATTTCCATAAGAGCTGTTCCCTTATCAAATGACCTTGTCTTTAAAAATAAAGTCCGACTAAAGAATTTGTTTTTTTAAAGCCAGCAGGTTGCATTTTTTTGCTGAAGTATAACATTTTTATAAAACCTTCCAAACTATATTCTGCCTAATTGAATCAGTGGCAAAACTTCCTGGACATTTTAGACCTTTGCAGAAGACAGACAGACTTATGGATAGGAATTCCCAGGTCGGAAACTCCTTGAATCTCTTTCCTATCTGCAGATTTGATGTTTAAAAAACATTGAGCGCCTGTTGGAATGGTCTTTTAATTTTTTTTTCTTTGTTCAGTGACTTCAACAAATTAGGAAGGAATGGATAGTCTCATACTTCAAGCTGTGCCAGAAATTAGTGTCTTTTCTCCTTACACCTTTTGTTGTTGTTGTTGTTGTGAATATTTCAAATGTGTTAAAAGGCACTACAAATAATATGACAAACTGCCATGAAATCATTGCCCTGCTGAATAAATGAAACATGACAAAGAGTGGTCAGGTGCCCTGTGTGAGCTCCAACGCACTTCCTTTCCCAGATGGGTTTACAGCCTTGAATTTGGTGTTCATATTTATGCATTTCCTCATGGTTTTAATAAATGTGTGTAGTTCTCAGTGAAATACAGAAGCATTTTCTGTTTTTAAACTTTATACAAGCAGATACTATATAGCACATAGAATGTAACTTTTCTCCTTCATTATGATTTGTTTTCTTTTTTCTTCTTCTTTTTTTTTTTTTTTTTTTAAGACAGAGTCTCCCTGTATTGCCCTGGGTAAAGTGCAATGGAGTCATCGTATCTCATTGCAACCTAGAATGCCTGGGCTGAAGTGATCCTCCTACCCTCAGTCTCCCAAGTATCTGGGACTACAGGTGCCTACCTCTATGCCCAAGCAATGTTTCTCCCTATTTTTTGCAGAGATGTGGTCTTGTTATGTTGCTCAGGTTGGTCTCAAACTTCTAGCCTCAAGCAATCCTCCTGCCTCAGCCTCCCAAAACTCTGGGATTACACATGTGATGGTTATGATTTTGAATCACCAGTGTTTATATCTGTAGCTCATCCATTCTTACTGCTGCATAGTCTGCCTTATAGGAATAGAAAACATTTATACTCCCTTCTCCAGTCACTTGGTATTGTCAGATGGTTCCAGCTTTTTCTCATCTGACAGGTGTGAGAAAGTATCTCATCAGAATTTACTAGTCAGCTGAGCATTTTTCAGTTTTATTGCCCTTCTGGAAATTGCCTATTTATATCTTTTACTGATTTTCCTATTGGGCTATTTATCTTTTTCTTACTGATTTGAAGAAACCACTTATTTATTGTAAATATTACCCTGCTGTTGAGTGTATATATTGCAAACATCTTCTCCTATCCTAGAGTTTTGGGGGTTTTTTTGTTTTATTTTTTTTTATTGAATGATAACTGTGTACATTAATGCACTTCTGGGGTACAGTGTGGTGTTTTCACACACAATCTGAAACACTTCCATCAAACTGGTTAACATAGCCTTCATGTCATTTTCTTAGTTATTGTGTTAAAACGTTCATATTCTACTCATAGAAAGATTCACTTGTATCCTTGTAAGATAAACCACAGAAGTGAATATCCGAGAGTTTTTTCCCCTACTTTTTCTCAGTGTTGCTGACTCAACAGAGGATATTTTTGGGATTTTAATATAGGTGAATTTATCAATATCATCCTGTGTGATTTGTGCTGTTTCCTTTGGGAACTCTCCATATTAAAGTTTCACATTTTACTTTTTATGTTTATATCTTTATTCACTGAAGAAGAGATTTTTGTATGAGTTTTAAAGCAAAGATCCGTTTTTAAAATTTTATCCATGTGGATAACTAATTGTCCTTGTGCCTGTTTATTGAATGTCAGAAATCCAGTTTCCATATATGCAAGATTTGTTTCTTGGTTCTCTACCCTGTTCTATTGGTCTGTTTATCTTGGCTTTAATAACATGATACCTTGATTACTGTGCTTCATTGTAAGAAATCTTAATTTTAGGTGTGATAATACCTTGTTTTCCCACAGTAATATAGGTATTTTAGGTTTTTTGCTCTTCCACAACTTTTAGAAGCACCTGGTTAAACTATGAAAAGTCCCAAAGTTCCAAAGAGTCTTAATGGAATTGCATTTAATTTTTTTTTTTTTTTTTTTTTTTTTAGATAGAGCCTCTCTCTGTCGCCCTGGGTAGAGTGCGGTGGAGTCACAGCTCACAGTAACCTCAAACTCTTGGGCTTAAGCAATTCTCTTGCCTCAGCCTCCTAATGGCTGGGACTATAGGTGCCTGCCACAACACCTGGCTTTTTTTTTGTTATTGTTATTGTTTAGCAGGCCCTGGCCAGGTTTGAACTCACCAGCCCCAGTGCATGTGGCTGGTACCCTAACCACTGAGCATGGGCACAGAGCCTGCGTTGAATTTATAGATTAATTTGGGGAAAAAAAATATGAGTACTCCTGCTCACAAATACAGTATATTTTTCCTATTGGTCATATCTAATAGTTTTATACATCTTTTGTTGGGTTCATTTCTTAGTGTGATATTTTTGAAACTATTGAAAATACTGCCTTTTTCTAATTATATTTTGTGATTGATTACAGTTGGTGCCTAGAAATGCAATTGATTTTTATATATTTATCTTACATTCAACAATTTTGCTAATCTCTTTGGTTATTTCCAATAATTTGTTTATATATTCTTTGGGGGCAGTTGTCATCTGTAAATAATGACAATCGTTTTTCCTTTTAATCCTGTGTTTTTTCCCTGTTCTTCGCACACTGGTCAGTCCCTCCAGGAGTGTGTTGAGTAGAAGCATGATAGCTGGCTGCTTCTTGCCAGTCCTGATTTTAAAGGAGATGATTTTAACATTTCACCATTCAGTAGAATTTTTGCTGGTGATATGTCAGTCAATGTCTATTTTAGGTTAAGAAAGTTACTATCCCTATTATTCAGGTTTTTACCATCTCTACATGTTAGGTTTAGATCAAGACTTTGGTAACAAATGAGAGAAACTGGAGTCACACCCTCAGCTGATAGAGAAAGTTCCCCTCCATGAAGTCTGGAAACCTGTGCAGAATGTGAAATGTGGGCCTTGAAGAGTCATGATTTTTCTCGAGCTTCACATTTCTCAGTTTCCAGTGGGATCCTTTTGGCTTTCCTAGCCTCAGTACCCTGTCTATCAGTGGAAAGAATCTGGCAGTGGCAAAGAGCATTAAGTTCCTTCTACCAATGACCATATTCCAGAAAGATCCCTAGTAACCTGAACAGCCTATCTGTGACAGTGAGTATATCATCACAGATCCACTGGGGGACAACATGCTAGTCACCTGCCCAGGCTCAGCTTTCTTTTCCTCTTTGTAAAACTGTGTTCCCATTACAGCCAGTTTGATGGATTGAATAACTGAGTGGTTGGTTGGTAGGTAGGTAGGATAGATAGAATTTATTTTTATATATATTTTTATATATTCTAACATCACTGTTGTAAAAATTGCCACAGTGGATATCTGTGTTCATAAAACTTGTTGAAACCTTGAGTCCTTTGGGACAGTTTTAATTTTTGAATAAGTAATTTAGTCACTTGTTTCAATATTCAAAAGGTGCAAAGCTTTTGATAAACTTTTCTCTTATGATTTCTTCTCCTCAGAAGCAATCAGTATTGCAAAGTTGTTGTGTATTCTCTCAAAGATGTACCCAGCATACAGGCCAACATTTACTTCCATGCGTATTCTTTCGTTAGTCTTCTTTTTGCCCAGTTGGCAGTATGGAGAAATGGGACTTGACAATGCCTCTGGTGTTTGAGTCCAAAGGCTTAACTGCGGCTCTGCTGTTGTGGAGAAGACAGTCAAGGCCTGCGCAGGGCACTGCTCTATGCACTCAGATAGCTGGAAGGTTCTCATACCGTTACATGGACAATTGGAAATGTGTAGGCAATTTATCTGGTTAAGTGAAGATACAGGAAACTTATCTGGCTGACTTATTCTCCTTTGCAGTCAGTTTGGTAACAAATCTAGGGTATTTTTTTTTTTTTTTT